TCCTTGGCCCCCAGGATACACGGCTGGGCAGGGACAGCTGGTTGTCCCCCAGGACCCCCAGGGCCTTCTCCTCTCCAGCAGGTTCCCCCCAGCCTGTGCTGGTGCCGTGGTTGTTCCTCTCCAGGTGCAGGACCCTGCATTTGCCTTTGTTGAATTTCAGAGGGTTCTTCTCTGCCCATCTCTCCAACTTGTCCAGATCCTCCTGAAGGGGTGCACAGGCAACACTTCCCAGCTTTGTGCCATCAGCAAACTTGCTGAGGAGGCATCAACCCCCTTATCCAAGTCATTGATGAACAAGTTAAACAATACCTGGAACTGAACCTTGGGGGGATACCACCAGTGACAGGTTCCCAACCAAGCCCTGTGCCACTGATCACAACCCACTGGGATATGACACTCAGCCAGTTCTCAGTCCAGCCCGCTGCCCATCCAGCCCACATGGCCTGAGTTGAGTGTCAAAGGCCCTGCTGAAGTCAAGGTGGGCAATACCCACTGCTCTCCCCTCAGCCATCCGGGCAATCATTCCATCTTGGAAGGCAATTGGGTTGAGCAAACATGACTTGCCTTTAGTGAACCCACACTGACTACTTCTGATCACACTCTGGGCCACCTCAGTCTCCCCAGGCCACCTGTTCTACACCCCACACCACCCCTGTGCCCCTTCCCGAGCCCCTCCCAGCTCACCTGGCCACAGCATGGACCACGTGCCCCCTCCAGCTCCCCTGGGCCAGACCCCACCCGGCAGTGCCTGATGGTCCTGTACTGGGGGTTGCAGCCTCCCTCTCACACTCCAGGTGTTTCCTCCCTCTTCTGTGCCCTGTCCATGCAGCAGCTGCTGTCCCAGGCGCAGCCAAAGCCCTCAGCCCCTGTTCTGGAAACGCCCCTGGTCCCTTTCTGGCCTGTGAACATCATTTGGAGGAGGCCAAGCAGGGCAGGAGGGAGGGAGAAGGGAGATGGGGGGAGATGGAAGGGTTTTATGGAGCCATAGGGTTATCTCCCATTTCTCCTTTCCTGGGAAGCATCACCTTCCTGCTGCCCCATCACTGCTGGGGGTGTCTGAGGGCATGCATGTCACCCACAGGGGTCTGGGCCAAGCCCCCCTGTGCTCCAGGCACTGCCTCAGAGGCACTGAAGGAGTGGTGACTGTCCAGAGAAGGGCAGCAAGGCCCAGGGGCTCAGGAGAGGCTGGAATAGTGCCCAGGGAGCCCAGGGAGGAGGTGGCAGTGGCTGGCTGGGGGACTGTGCCCAACAGCCCTGCCCCGCACAGGGGAGATAAGCACTGGGCTGGCTGGGAGGGGTGAGGGCCTCCTGCCCCACAGCACAGCCCCAGCCCAGCCCCACAGCCCTGCTCGGCCAGGGCATCCTCCTGACCCCCTTCTGGGCCCAGGAGGGCAGGAGGTCACACCAAGCCCAGGCAGATGAGGCTGGGGAGCAGAGCTCCCCTGTGCCCCTGCAGGGCCCTGGGTTGGGGCTTCTCCTGTTAGTGGGGGGGACTGGGGCTGTCAGTCCCTGGCTCTCAGGAGCACATGGCAGTGATGAGCCACCAAACCCACCCTTGTGGCACTGTGGGGAGCTCACCCACCTCTCCTGCCTGAGCACAGGTCCAGGACTGCAGCCAAACACCCCCACAGCCTCAGTGTGCAGCTTTGCAACCCCACTGCCTGCCTTTTTTGCCCCAAAGATGCCGGGCAGGGGGTTTGGGAGTGCCAGGGACCGGGGAGCACCTGCCAGTTCTGCCTCCAGGACAGTTCCAAATGGGACTAGCTGGAAACACAACGATGAAAGCACACTGAAGCCATTTCCTTGTTCCTTTCATTAAGTGTAGCAGGAGGCTGCTTCCCTTGTGCCTCCCCACCAAGGTGATGCTCTCCTGGGGATGCTGAGCAGGGGGGGCTCATGGCCGTGGTGTCTCCCCAGCCCCAGTCTGCCTCCCTGGGATGTGCCAGCTCTGCCCTTTGCCATCAGCCAGGGCCCTACCCTGCCCTGCCCCTGGGCTCTGACCTGTGCTGTGCCATGTCAGGGGGCAATCGTGTTCCCAGGACAGCAAGTGCTGCCACAGCCCGAGCCCACTGCAGCCTCCTCCCCCTCCTGTGCTGCCTCTCAGCTCCCCAGGACAGGACATATCCCAGGAAAGCACCAGTGAAGCCCTGCCAGGAGCTGGGCCCAGCTGGGCAGCCTAGCCACCCAAACAGAGGCTGGGCTGGGACTCAGCCCAAAGCTGGGTTTTTTACCCTCAGGGTTGTGCTGGGAGGATGTTGTGAATTTCTGAACTACCTGGTCAGATTTAAAGTCCTGCTTCTCTTCTGGGGCTGAGCAAGTACCAATTTCAACCCTCAGAGGTATTTTTTCCACATGCACCTAGTCCCACACAGCCCTTTTTAATCCTCCTTGGAGCAGGAAGACAGTGGATTAGGTGTGGCTTTAGGAGTTGATCTGCTGAGATAGAAGTTTTGTGTCCAGTGTGCCAGGGACAGTGTGCACAGAGGGGCAGGAGGTCAACTTACTCTGTGCTTCCCAGGCACTCCTGCCCTTCCAGCTCCATCCAGGGACTCTACTCTCTCTTTCCTCCTGGGCAGTGCTGCAAGTACTTCCCCAAGGAAGCTGAGTGCCTGCCTGCACAGGAACACAGCAGAGCCTCATCCCCACCAGGCACACTCCCCAAACAGGTCACTGTCCCGAGCTGGGGGAGAAGGCTCCCAGGAAAGGGAAAAGAAGGCACTGCAGGCACATGGAGATTCCTGTGCCTGGCTGGAAACTCAGCCTCCCCTCCCCTCTTAGTCAGGCAGGAGCTGTGACTGGGATCTGCTCAGTCCTGTTTGTGTCACTGGATGGTGTTTGAGGCTGACAGAGCCCGAGGGCTGTGCCTGGCACTGACCAGCTCCCACCACAGGTAGGTGGGAACATTGTCCTGTTGCCTTTTCCCCAAAGTTTTACTAAATTTTTCTTGATTACTACCACCCACAGAGCAGTAATTTATTCCAGAGCTGCAGCACCACTGGAGCTTCCTGAAATAAGTATTGGCCTGTGTGGAAAACAAACCCCCAACAACCTGTCCCAGTGCTGCCAGTGCCTTCCCAGTGGTGGGATGGTAACACTCAATGGCTCAGGAGAGCAGTCGCTCCTTCCCCGAGAGGTACAGCCCAGCTGCTGCACCTCCTGCCTAGGGCCCTGGCAGGTTTTCCCAGCAAGAAACTGTTCTCAGCATAACACACATCACCTCATTTCACTGCTCCTTCCTCAGTTCAATAATTTAGCTTATAAAGGAGGAGCTAAGAAGAGCACATTAATAAATAAAGAACATCTTTGAAAGATGTATTTAAACTGCGACAGGGAAAATAATTCATTGAAGAAGCAAAGGCCAATCCTGATCAATGATTCAGGACCCTGGAGGCAGCAGAGGATCCGTCCACGGATCCCAGCAGGGAGGAAATGGCGCGTGAGCAGCTCCCAGAGCAGCCCCTTGTCCTGGGCTGCCCCAGCCCTGCTCTGGCAACAGCTGGCTGCCTTTTGGGGGAGGCAGCAGGAACAGCTTCCACCGAGATGCTTTGCAAACTGTTTCACTTAAGGACATTTCCTTTCAGCGCCTGAAACGCCCACCTCACTCTGCTGGAGAATTCCTTCTCTTCTTCGGACTGTGGTTTTATGCAGGGGATCACTTTTGACAGGAGCAGCAGCAGCAGAAGGGAATTCAGGACAGAAGTCACCTGCAGTCAAGCCTTGTAAAAATAATTGTCAGTAGATGGCCAGCCACGTGCTCCTGCCCAAGCCCAGAGCAGGGTGGTGCTGTGACAGGACACAGCACATTCAGGACACACAGAGCCGCCCATCCCGATGACACACACGGCTCCTGGGAGCAGCAGTTGCTGTGGACATGAACG